AATCAATACCCCTGCTGCAACGAACCCCAATACATGCAGTTTCTTGTAAACTCCTAACGTGAGTATATGGAGTTTTTGTTTTAAAGGAAACCCATCTTCATAGAGATAAATGAAGGAACATGAAGACGGGGGATACAAGAAGAGAAGCCCAAAAGAGGGAGAGCACTATAGATTTCATTTATACTTCCCATAATATCAATGAAAGGTGCTTCATGTTTCAAAGAATATGCAGAAGTACAAGAAAGGAGAGGAACTCCCAAGCTGCCCAAGGAGATTAACTGCCTGCTCGGTAATATTTCTTGAAAATTCATAATATCAATACTTCATATTGCTAAAAAATGTTGACACATATATATGAATCACAGTTCAATAGAAGTATTAACAAATATGCATTATTATTTAATTAAGCAAATTGCTACACTTTTTCTATAAAATTCAAACACTTGAAATACTTTTTTGCGGTTTCCTATAATTTTTGAATTGTAACCATTGTGTCATTAACATCTATTGATATTTATGAACTAAAATTATGGACATTTCACTCCTTGCTGATAATTAATTGGCTGATGAAATAAGCAAACATGATGGAACCAGTTACTAAATAGCAAAGACAGGCACAATAAATTGAATGAACATTAACGTGTTAAGTAAATAAATTAATTCATCTCACTCCACATATGCACTTGTGGGAGGAAGATAGAAATAGAAGGCAACCTGGTGACAGCGCCCATAGAACGGCCCCATAGGCCTATTAATGAGACATGTCCATCTGCCCGCAAATATTCAACCACAGCTTTCAGATCATCCTTCTGAAAATGTTTCAATAACTTCAACATTAGGTATTGAGGAATAACAACGGAAATATGCATCAAATACCCTCATTGTAAAGCAGAAGACTACAAGCAACAATAAATTGGGGGGATGGGGGGATGGTGGGGGAGGAGGTACAGTAGGCACTTACTTCATTCCACCCCAAAGTTACGTGCTCGCCCCCAGAGATACCAGAACCAGAGAAATCAAGAGCAAACACAGTGATGTTAGAAGGCAGTAATATTATGGCAGCCTCACTAGCATCGGCTCGACAACCACTGTTGTAAATCAATAGAAGAGCCAGTTAGTACGAAATATGGATCAGTCCAGTGATTTAAATTAATATCAACAAAGAGTATTTTCATAAATTTCTAGAAAGGGAAACCTGCAACAAAGTTTCATAAATTGAATTTCTAAGACTAGAACTAATAAGTTCGCATTTTATTATAGTACTTCTAGTGAAGATCTTGATTGGATGTGTAATTAGCTATGATTTTTCAGATTAACTCACCTGTTACCATGGCAGTAAATTACACAGGGTAGAGGCTTCCCTTCGGGACTAACAATAGGCAAGTAATGACTACATTGAAGTACATCTCCTCGACTGTTTTTAACCTGCATAAAATTAGGACGTTCCTTACATAACAGAACTTTTCTCAATGAACTACAGTCTACAAAAGTCGAACAGTAGATGTCAAGATTGTCAGATGGGGTGGGTGTCATCAGTCTCCAAACACATAAAAGATAACCAGATAAAACAACAAACCAGTTGCATTAAATAAATACTGTAATCTTTTTGTTAAAGATGGCAGAAAAGGTCCTTTTATCCATTTTGCCTGTACATGCAGGAAATGAACCTCTACCGGCACTGGATAGTGTCCATCCACGTTCAATTTAAGATCTGAATGCTACAGGTCAGATAACTAAAGCAAAGCACGTGCACAAGATGCCAATGTGGGAAGAGGATGAAAACAAGCCAACAGATCAAGATTTTCAATATGTAATATCAGATTTTATTTGAAACTTAGATTTCGACTCAACGATCATAGGTTTGAACCTGAATGAGATAGAAACCCAAGCCAAGTTGCCCAATTATAGAATAATTGGAGAAAGGATGGAGGATGTTCTCTCAAGTATGCTAGTTTCGTAGTCAACCAATCTATCCATCTATGCCTCAAACACCAAAAATTTATCTCTACAAATTAAAGTCACTATATCCCCAAGGTTGGTCTAGTTATAGGAAGTACTGAGATGGGAAGATCAATCACCTCCAAATCATCAAATAAGTCTAGAGAACTTCCTCATGCCCCTTGTACTATTAGTCTGGTTCTTTTTCTGTTTTTTTTTCTTTTGTACTTCCTAGTTGTAACTTTCCCACTATATTAATAAGTGTGTTTCCTTTTCAAAGAAAAACCATCACGATCACAATGACAAAATGAGTTCTTTTTTCTAGGGTAACCAAACCATCTATGAGTTGACAAAAGAAGGACCAGCCTCTGTCTTGCTAATTATGACACATACTCATCTTCCACGACCATCTAACTTATCAATATCAGCATAAATCCTTTACTATCTCAAATATTTTCAAATCACACAACAAAGTAATTACTTCTAAAATCTAGAGAAATAAGAGGTCCCTAAAAGTCGGAAAGATTCAATCAATTAATATGAAAAACGAACTATCTATGTGCTACTTAGACAACCTAGTGCTACTATTCTACCTCTGAATCTACTATCGACCTAAGTTCCAAATTTCTTTCGTTCAATGGAAATTGATTTGATGGGTACAGCCACCTTCCCATGGAAAGAGAGCAACCTCATAGTGAGAATTCCAGATTTCTTAATTTCTCATACGATTAGGATATTACAAAAACTCCACCTTTTAACGTGTACACCCCCATTATATTTTGTAATCGACTGTGATTGAGAGGCTACATGGTGAAATATCCGTGCTACCATCATGACCAGAATAACGTAATAAGTTTTAGTAAAATTTTAGCAAGTTCAATGTACATAAACCAAATTGATGGAGAGGTCTAAGCAATGAGAAAATTGACGTGTTAGACGGGGTTACATTTATGATATGAAATGATACCTTCAGATCCTTCCTTTGATACAATTTTCCTCTTAGTGTGAACTCATCTTCTAGTAAATCATTGTTAGGGTCATATTCAGCTCTGCAAGTAAAATTTAGAAGAGTTACAGTCTCTTGAAGTTACCAACCTTAATATAATAAAATGAAAATGAAACGAAAGTGAAGTTAGAAAATGAGAGAAGTCACTGAGATTGCCGTGGAGTATTTCCAATGATCGAGTCATAATTGTAGAACACAATACCATTCAAAATAAAAAGTAGAGATGAACGGATCCGCATTTCAATGCCATTGAATCGCAGAGATCTCATTCAAGCTTGAAATACCCAGGAAAAAAAAGTGTAAACTCTTCGCCGAGTCAGAGAGTGGAGCGGAATAACGATCAAATCGAGTCGAAAGCAATATTTAGATCTCGCCTACAAGCTACCTTCATTACCACAACAGAAAACCATGTAGAACTCAAATTCTATGGAGCCCAGTACTAAGATTAGGTAATGAATTGACCGGAAGGCTCCAATTTCTTAGATACAGAGTAAAATAAATACTCAAAATCATAGCTCAGAATACCCATCACTCTCTAGCCTTTCTCAGCAACAAAACAAACGCCGCACGCACCAACGCCAAAATTCAAGTCCAAAGCTAGTAATTCGACAGAAAAGTAAGAAGAATAAATCTCGAAATGGGTCGGAAACGTTACCTGGGGGGGCGTATGATGAAGTTGATCAGCTGCTCCATCAGATTCAGGCGAGGGAGAAGCAAAACCGAGGCAACCGATCTGAATATTTCTTCAAAACTGTTTCTCGGTTTCCTTGAACGAAAACGGAGTAAAATAATACGAATTCACCAATCAAGAAGAAGAACAAAGGAAAAAAAAAAAAAACTAATATTCGCTGAAACGAATTTCGATTGAGGAGAAGAAGAGAAGCTGGCTTTAATAACTTGCGAGCTTTAGCGCTCGCATGTACTTTCTTCGTGTATTGGGCTTTCGATTTTCGAAGCCGCCTTCTCCATCTGATGTCTCTATTTGGCTCCGTCTCCGTCTCTCCGACGTCCGTGCGCGTGTAAGACACTCGCGTTCGTGAGAGCGTGTGAGTGGCGGTGCCGCATCCTCAGATGTGCCTTCTTCGCGCTCTTTCCCGGCGATTGAGCCTGGGCCGGGGATTTTGGGCCTTGGATTACTACGCTCAGCCGCTGAATATTGGGCTTTCCGGTGGACCCGGCTTGGCCTTGGCCCAATGGCGCTTTCGTAATTATACACCGAACCGGTCCGTTCTGTGTATTCCCCAAATTCGAACGTCCGCTGAACCGGACCGATTACGTTTTTCATTTGCCCGAAACCCAACTCGACCCAGCCCATTTTTCACCCCTAAATTTTAGTTTCACTTTTTTTCTTCTCTCTTTTTTATCGATATATTTCAATATTTCATTTGAAGCTATAGAAATAATTGAAGATAATTATGTGTTGGAAAAAACTGAGTCCCTTGAATTTTAAGCATGTATCTATTTTGGATTCAAACTTTTTTTATTTTTACAGTTCATAAAACATTTCTATATTGTCATTGAAATAATATGATGGTTGAATTTTAACTTAAGTTTATTGATTTGACAAGAGTATATTAAATTAATAATTTTTTAAGCACTTAACAAGTGAACATCTTTAAACTATTGAAGGATGGGAGTCCAAATGGTTATAAACTAGATTGATTCAATTTGGTTTCTTTTTTAAACTAAAACAAATTGATTTAATTTTCCTTTTTGCCTTGAAAACCGACTCGACCTAACCTAGTTATACCCCATCATTTATTTTCTTTTATTGGGCTTTAATGTTTTTAGCAATATATCTCAATATTCATTCCAAGCCATGAAAATATTTTGAATATAATTTTATGGTAAAATAAATTTTTGGCCAATGAGTTTACCAATTTACCATCAAAGAAAGTTGGAAAAAAAAACCAAATTTAAGGCAAGGTCAAACCAAATCGATTGGTTCAATTCGGGTTATTTAGTTTTAGTGTCATGAGGATGTAGGAGTGATCAAACGAAGTCGGAAAATCGATCCGACAAACTAAATCCGACCAAATCGATGCGATCGATCGGTGTCGATTTTTTCTCTGTAAAAAATCAACTAATCGATTGGTTGGCTCTTCTAATTCAAAGGAATTGACCACGACTTATAAGAAAGGAAAAGGAAACACCTATCTCAATATTCCACAAGAGAGAGCTTGTCGAGGAATGAGAGAAATAATAACTAAGAGAAGTTTTGTTTGACAGGAGAAAAGAAAGATGGTGAGAGCTATAAAAGGATAAAGATGAGAGAGAGAAAGTAGGAGAAAGAGAAGAGAGGATATTGAAAAGAAAAAAGAAGAAAGAAAAAAGGAGTGTGGCTAATCCGCTAATAAGAAAGCCAAAAGTGTAAAATTAAAAAAGAAAATAAGAAAAAACAAAATTGTTTCATTCAAGGGAATCCCTTTTATTTATTTATATAATTTATTATTTATTTTTCAATTTCTCTCTCTTTTCTATTTTTTCTCCCACTACTCTTTCTATTTTCCATTTCTCATTTTCGTTTTTTCTCTCCATATTTATTCTCTTTCTTCGCTTCTTCCCTCTTATTTCAGTCACACCAACATTCATTTTATTTTCTGAATTTAGTATCTATTATAAATCGACAAAATCAACTGATCGAACTGTTGGTTTGTACAGGAGGTATGAAGAAAATTTTCCGATCGACCGAAATCTACTAGGTCGGTTTTCGGCATTGGGTCGGCTCAACTCGACCGACCGATGTCAGCCCTTGAGGGGAGGACGACACGTCGATAAGCTTGATCAAGACGATCTGTCGTCTTATCTGCGTTAGAACGAGGAAGCTGAAGCCCACTAAATTGCCGGAAAACGAATTCCCGCCATCCCGGAGAAATTCGACGGCGCCTAACAGAGCGGGAACTCCCGGAAAGAGAGCGCACTCTCTTCTTCATCGACACGTCACTCATGAACTGTCCGTACAGTTCATTTCGAACAGTCGCATATCCACTTCCGTCCCCCATCCATAATCCCAAATCCCTAGTGGCCCCCAATTTTACCTCATTTTCAGCCCTAAATTCCGGAAAATTTGGAGCATCTGTTTACTGGAATATCGTCCTAAAGCCAGTTGAGAAGACGAATTTGCGAGTTAGAGCTTCGACGAGTGATGATGCCGGTACTGAGAAGTGGCTCAAATGGATACCTAATGGAGCTTTAGCCGCTGATAAGGTTTTGAGATTGGTTGCCGGTGCAACCGCCAGCCCCATCAGCCAGTTCATTTCGTCGCCTGTTACATTTCTTCACTCTGTAGACCCGCGAATCAAATTGGTAAATTTTTTTTTTTTTCCTGCACATTTGTTGGTTGATGGTTATGTCTTTCAGCAGCATATTATGGTTGAAAACTTGGTGCTTATATTTTGCTTAGAATCTTAGTAATTTCTAGATGGGTAACTTTTAGTTTTCAATGCACTATCTTTGATGTTTGTTGGATGTAGAGCTTTACAAGATTGGTAATTTCACATGATGCACATTTGGATAATAAACATTTTCGCAGAGATTGAACAATCAAGCTGTTTGTGATGAATTTATCCTTACGAAGTTCATCCTATTTTCACGTTCACAGTTGTGGTGTGTGGTGTGTTTGGGAGTTCTTTTAAAATAAGTCATTTTAGCAAAGGTAAGTGTTAGTGTAAAGTGTTTAATGTCAAAATGAATTTAATGGTCGGTTGGTTTTAAGTTCTTCCTTAACCAGCACTTAAGTGCGTATGACTTTGTTCGGAAAGTACTTCTAAATCACTCCCAAATGAGTGGACTTGCTTTTTTAATCATACCAAAAACACTCTCAAACGTAGCCTTAGACTTAGTAAATTCTTTTGCTGTTGTTTTTGTTTGTCTTCAAACCATTGGTTCTACGGATCTCAGTTGACTGCTCATTTTGTTTGACAGGTATGGCTCTTGGCTCTTGTTGTCTTACCAGCGAGATCAAATATCACTATTCGTTTTGGATTAGTGATTTTCTTAGCTTTTCTGTCCATATGGATTCTTCCAACTGAGTTATGGAAGGTACATTCTGATCAAAAGCTGAATATGATCGCCACCTTTCTTTCAATCAATGGAAACTTAGGACCTTAGTAATGCCTATGGATAACATTACATTCCACTGGATAAAACAATGTGATAATTGTGAAGGAATCCTCTAACTTTCTAGGACCAAGTGGGAAGAGTTTCTCTACTCTCAGGAATTTTGTTCGTCATGCTGGGGCTGAGCGCGGACGGTGTGCCACCCCTCATCCAATCAAGAACTCCTCCACCTGGAATGATGGGATTGCCTGAGCTTCCTGCATCTTTGGGAGGTTACTCGTATTTAATTGCAAAGCTTGGCCCTTTAACTTTTACAAGGAAGGGCTTGTCGGTAGCAAGTACAGCAGCATGCTTAACTTTTGTCGTAAGTTAATGTTTTCCCGCCCTTTCTTTTTATCAGCTCCATGTAACTTTTTCCTGTAACACATTTAACTTACATATATGAGTGTTGAGATTGAACACTCTACTACTAGCAGCCTTATGCATTCGTGTCTTCCAATTTGATCTTTGAGGAAAACAAAGTGCCAACAATATTATCATCCCTCATTTAAAAAAAAAGGTGCAAACAATATCGAATCAATTGGCTGTAAGTTGCCTTAAAGATCTCAACTCTTGGTTTGATTTTTTCTCAAAGGTTTTCCAAAGTGCAAGTCTCTGCCTCACAACCACAGCCCCCGAACAACTTGCATTCGCCATACGCTGGTTTTTGCTTCCTTTGGCATATTTTGGCGTTCCAGTTGCTGAAATCACTCTTACACTTTTACTTTCTTTGAGATTCGTCAGTCTGGTGTTTGATGAGGTAAGAGATCGATTAATCACTGATAAATCAATTCTAATGATTGATAAATCTGTGTTAAAATTGTTAGTGGCATTCATTAATGCTCATGTTATGTTAATGTTTTGCCATTTTGTAAAATAAATCATGTGCTGGCAGGTTCGAAATGTTGCATTAGGGGTTGTATCCCGCAGGATAAACTGGCAACTGTTGACCACGATGGAGACGGTTGATGGTAAGCATCCAGCAAAACTGGCAAAAGATGCATACATAAAAAATCACAAAATTTATAGGTGTCTATGTTAAGAATACTTGTGCATTATAGGGAAGCTCTTGCCATGGTTTATAGACCTAGATATGATCAATTTACATTTCAATCTGTGTCACTTTGATTCTACCCTTGATAGCATGAGTCCTGTTTTTATCAATCATGTAGAACAGCTCCTCCCCTGGACCTTCTTGTTCTGGGGCAACATTTTTTTTTTCCTCCATTGTACTGTGCAATTCCTTAATGATTTGAAGCATTACACTATAGAAAGTATCAAGTACTAATATGTCATATTTCATCCCAGAGTATTTTGGTTCGAAGTCATTATATCATTTTAATGCTTATTTTGGTTACTTTCCTTGAACCTGCAGTTTTCTTTACTTATCTCCGTCGCATTTTCAAAAATATTTTTAGCCATGCGGAGCAGATTTCTCAGGTAACCTACTCAATGCATATTACTGAAAATTTACTCAATTGCTGAGTGCTTTATCTGTAGTTTCTCTGTGTTTGCAAACTGCTAAATGTTTCTAAGGACAAAAATTTTATCTAAGTCAGAACTTCTTTATATATGTTATATCAAGATACCCCGAGGGTTCTGAAGATAAGGTCTTGGTTCAAGCTCCATGTTGAAAAATTTTAATGTTTTTGTTGTCTCTCAAAGCTGGCCTTGGAGTGGATGAGATCTCTCCGAGAATTAGTGGGGTGGGCTATGAGTAACAAGGAGTGAAACCTCTGGTTACCCGAGTTATAGATGTGCTTCCAGTATAGTGGGATTTGTTCATTTATGGGTCGACTGATTGCTTAAACTTCTATTCTTTTAAGAAATCCATACCAATTACCCAAGTGTCAAATGCCTTGAGCTACTGTAATAAGCACCTAAGTTTAGACCTTCATTGGGCCCATATAGATTCAGAAGTATTGACCCCATAGCAAACCCAGTGGGGATATTTCTCTATGCATTTCACTGATATTTCGAAATTTATGTTTAGTACACATTTTCGTTTATGTTGAACAAAACTCGACTCTATGACGTGTGCTGCAGGCAATGATTGTAAGAGGTTTCCGAGGAGATAGCAGCAGTCATAAACTGTTTTTCTTATCAAGCTCATCAAGCAGAATGGCAAATATTCTCTCCCTGTTATGCCTGATTGGTGTTATCAGTGCATCTGTTTTCTTTGACAAAGTCATCGTCTGATACCTACATCCACTTTTTGCATCTTCTCCCCCAGCTAAAGCTCTTGTATGTGAATCTCTCTTTATTCCCCCGGGTATTCATATACCTGATTGTCCCTAAACTTTTAGAGTTGTGGCTAATTGGTCCGTGAACTTTAAAAAGTGTTCAGTGGGTCGTTGACCAATTAAATTTGTTTAAAATTCAGAAACATATTATACACAAAATTGAAATGCCGGGAACTATGAGATATCTTCTCATAATTAGAATCGTCTACTGCATTAGGAATCTGCTCGACACAAAATTAAAAGCTCAAGACCTACTAGGATACCTTTAAAAGTTCAAGGACTTGTTAGACACGACATCAAAAGTTTATGGACGTATTAGACGCTCTAGTTTAGGGAGTTATTAGGCACAACTCCTAAAGTTTAGGAATCAAACTTGTAATTTGACCTTAAGATTTGAGTCTATGATTAGTACACAGTTTTATTTCAGGTTACGAATTCGTTAATTCCACTTGCTGTATAAAGACGAACACATGTTTATGAAACTTGCTCTAACTTCTATATAAATTACAACCTAGATTAAACCAACTTAGGTTTCTATAACTTAATTCTTTTGTGGAATCTATTCACATGTTATACAAACCTAAGCCCTTAGACCTGCTACAACCATGAGCCAAACACTTTAAATTCATGGAAATTTGAGATCTATGGCTGATTTCTTCTGGTTGCTTGGTGATTTGGCAGGTGGAAATAAATACCTATCACTTGTGTCTCTTCAAAACCACAGTTCCATATTGCTCATCCCATGGCCTTTTCTTATATGGGACATGAAACTTCATTTGGTGGATTCAAATCATACATATATTGATCTTGTTGAGAGAGTTCAAAAGGGTGTTGCTGTTCTCCCTTGATTTGATTGTATGCTTTTGAAGTGAAGTTCTGTAGGACAAAGGAAAAATTTTCTCCTGATACAGGAAAATAATATGTTCAGGATGTGATTTCTTTAGTTGGAAATAACAAATTTAGGCATTTTTTAAAAAGTCAATTTAGGGTTTTTTCCCTAATATTTTAGTAACAGTTTTTATGTTTTGGAGATACTTTTCCTGAAATCTCAGTTGAAATTTGAAAACAAAGTTCAAGTTCTTTTGAAAACGAGTTTTCAACTTATCGCGATATTAGAAGACTATCCTGAAACAAAGTTATTATTATTATTAGTAGTTTTTTTTAGTACTACAAATGTGAGGATGAGAGATTGTATCTTCAACTTTTAGGGAAGGAACAAGATATCTTGACTGCTGAGCTCGTTGGTAACAAAGTCATTATTAGGTGTGGAAGAATCGATCAATTTTTAGTTATTAATATGAAGACAAAGTCTTTTGGACAGAAAATGACAGATTCCAAAAGTCAATTTAAGCTTTGGTCATCTTTTAAACATTGCATGGTTTTTAAGATTTTTAAGAAGCAAAATGGGTTGTAATAAACAAGTTGAATATTCATAGAAGACATTAAAAAAAAAAAGAAGTAGAACATTGATTGATTGATGACCATCACTAGAATGGAAAGGACATCCATCGTTTATAGACAAATGGTTTTCTATCTATGATATTAGGGATCGGCTTTACTATTTCTCATATTCTTTTAGTCAATTTATATTAAATGAGACGGGTTTCTCCCTAATTTTAAAAATTTTGTATTAATGAAGATGTTAATAAATTATTGATGTTTTCAGTTTTAAATGATGTCTCTAATAAATATGAAAGTTCAGAAATAAACGGGCTTAACAGCCTATGCCATGCCTAGCAACTCCCAACGATCAAGTTCAATCCTTTGTTTTCTCCAAGGGACATACCTATTAGTAAGAACGTGGAGCCTCATAGTATACGAAGTGTTGTGTTCGGACCCTTGGGTGAACTTAATAACGAAATCCCTTGATGTCTCTTGAGTTCAAGCTTTAGGCCGGCTCCCGATTATAGGGTTAAATGAAAGTTGAAGTGCTATCGATTCTGGGTTAAAAAAAAAACACTTGCTTGCACTCTTAAAAATGAAATTAAAATAGCTACCGAATTACCGATTGAATCACATTTAACTGATAGACTATCATAGTTTTTCTTGAAATAAAATTATATCAACTTGCATTTATGTGATGTTATCGTACGATATAAAAGGTGGGTCTCTACATTTTATAGGAGGGATGCATTGGAAGTCGTGACTCTACTACCTCGAGTGTTGTACTTGTCACTTCATGATTTTAAAACTATGCTGTGTCATGGACACATCCTCCTAATATTTGGGATACCACAAATGTCCAAACTGGAAAGAACCAATTGTTGCGCTGAATTTTACCCCAACACATTGTCAAAAATATTAATCAATTAAGTTAAATTTTACAAAAACTACAGACCTAATTTATTTCATGTAATTTCTTTCCAGTGGGATAATGGCATCTGTAATTTCTTATTATTTTTTTTCCCACACCATCGACATCTTAATGAAACTAATCATAGGTTAAAATAAAAGAATAAAAAAATCCTTTTATAAAGCAACAAAAATTCTAGGAAAATTCGATTTTTGATCAATTTTTAAAAATTCTATTTGACTAAAAAAAACTCTTATTGTGACACTTTTCATTATAATTTTTTACCCATTTTCATTTTGTAACTTTGTAAAATTAGTAAAATATCTTCATTAAAAAAAAACAAAATATTCCATAATTTTATTCCTTCAGCCTATCACCTTAAATCTCACACCCTCTTATCAATTTCGAATTTGAGTCTAATATAGAAAAAATTTAATATTTATTTTGAAAAATCAATTACCAAACGAAAGAAATTTCTAACTTTTTAATTTTAAGAATCTAATATCTAAAAAATCTATAAAAAAAATCCCAATTAACTTTGAGTTTCATCGATGGGCACTAAGCCACTAACCTGATAGAACGTGAAGCCCTTTAAAAATGTGCTACCGAATCAATCACCGTTGATTTATTGGAGATTATCTCGATCGTCGGGTCTACAAACCGACACTAACTTTTTCAAATCATCCAACGACCAGAAGGAGGCTGTGACGCTCAAGGGTCACAGGGCCGTCACTCGATCTAAACTCTGCACCAGTCGGCATTCTTATCGGTGGTGGTGGCTTATCGAGCCGGCAATAAATTGTTTTCACAAAGAATTTTCTCGAGAAAATCAGCGAGAAAATTTTCAACTATCGTGAAGAGCGAGATCGAGAGAGATGTACGGGTACACGGGCGTGAGTAGCAAGGGTGGAGAGGTAGACCTTGAATCAGGGGAGACCCTGTACCCAGGTTTGAGCTATGGCGAGAACCAGCTCCGATGGGGTTTCATTCGGAAGGTGTACGGAATCCTGGCGACGCAGATCGTGCTCACCACCATTGTTTCCTCCGTTACCGTCTTATACTCTCCCATCAACGATCTACTTCGGGGCAATTCTGGCCTTCTTCTGTTCCTCTGCTTCCTTCCCCTAATCTGTGAGTCAATCATTTCCGAATCACGAAACGTCCTGGTTTACTATGTGTGATCTGTGAATATATTTGTTAATCGGATCAATCTTGTCTTGTGGATGTTTCGTGCCTTTTTGAATGACGTTGATCGGGATTAGGGTTGTTGAATCGGTCGTTATTGTCACGATTATTTCTGCTTTTGAGCGGATGATCAATTTGGTATCCTGGTTGGATTCTTTTATTTCATCGAAAGAGTACTTTTCGACGCAATTGACTATTACTTTATTTTGAAGCACGATCAACTGTGACGAATCGGTTTCTAATGACCTTAAAAGTAGTTTCTTGATCGTGGATTCCATCATATATTTATAGCCTTTTTATCCCTTTTTTTGAGCCTGGAAATGCTTTGAATGGTTAGAACGATCACTGATGCTAACTTCATAAAATGTTTCACGACTTCATCCTTGGATTCCATTATTTGATCAAGGCTAATTATCTTGTTAAATTTATGATTGGCTGCACCATCTTTTGGATGACACATTGCCATCATGAACATAGATGAAGCTCAAACAGGGGGACTTTTTCATATCACATTCTAGTTACTTGCTCTATATGGTTCCGATAAATTACTATACCTATCCAGATCAATTCCTAGAAGGGGCTGTTTCTTAAGTAGTATAATTTATATCTTCTACTTTGCAATCCCTATTTCATCTTGTTTTTGCCCCTTCGTTTTTAATTCTCACCAATTAGGATTGGTTCCTGTAATTTCTTGGAGGCCCCTTTCTCTTTCAGGTTTTTCCCCCTTTCCAATAAGCTTTCTTTTTCTATGAACTATTTAATGTGAAGTATTTATTTCCTGAGTTGTTAACATCATAGTTCTATATCATTCAATAACTCCCAATCTTTGCAGTATTATGGCCCATGTACATCTATAGGCAGAAGCACCCTCTGAACCTCGTCTTCCTCGGACTTTTTACAACTACGCTTAGCCTCACAGTTGGCGTCAGCTGTGCTAACACTGACGGTAAGTTTTACTAGACACTACAGCTAAAATGTTCAGACTGCTTGTCGGTAATCCAAAATGATTCTATCATTACTGTATCTGCAATTCAATATGATTATATATATACATATATTTTATATCCGTGAGTGTCAGGCTAGCTTACGCACACCTCGACTAATCTCAACATATATATTTGCCTTGTTAATGATGTCACTGTGGTTAAATTAAATGTCTTGGTGAGAATATAAAAATTTTCTATTGGTGCTTGCAGGAAGGATTGTGCTTGAAGCGCTAATTTTGACCTCGGCAGTAGTTTCTTCCTTAACTGGGTACACCTTCTGGGCGTCGAAGAAGGGCAAGGACTTCAGCTATCTTGGACCATTTTTGTTTACTTCCCTAATGATCCTCCTCCTTACTAGCTTCATTCAGGTCATTTTCTGCCCCTTTGCTATTTCATAGTCAACAGCGGTTCTAGTTTTATGTATATCATTAGCTCTTCGTGGTTGGTACTAGAAGGCACATAAACTAAATTCAAAACCGAATCCTCATTGTCGTCCTTAAAAGTGTATGCTGTGTTGTTTTGTATTGTAGGCATTCTTCCCTCTTGGTCCTACTTCTACTGCCATTTACGGTGGAATCGGTGCGATTATTTTCTCGGGGTACATCATTTACGATACGGATAATCTGATCAAGCGCTTTACATATGACGAGTACATATGGGCTGCAATCACTCTCTATCTGGATATCCTGAACTTGTTCCTCACCATTTTGCGTATGCTGAGACAGGGAGACAATTAGTTGGACAAAGTTTTCTCTTGCTGAATTCGGGCTTCCGTGATTCTGTTGCTTATTATATATATGTTAAAAATAATTGTTTGTTAAAAAGTACATAATACTCTGAAGGACTTCGTGTTGGCTTCTAGTTTTATTCTCTGACTCGATGAAGTTTAATATTTTAGCCCAATTTGTGCACAGCTAAAATGTGTTATATTTATATGCTTTGTTTATAAATTGTCAAGCATATACTTCACTGAACTTGCTAGAATCCTGCTTCTTTGTTTCTTCGGAAATGGTCAATTGGCATCATGTTGAAACGCCTTTAGATGTTCATCGGTTGGTGTGCATAAAACTGAGAATTAAAAAAAATAAATAAATCAAATTGGATGTGAATGATCTGTTCGGATATTCTTCTTCAAATTTGAGTGTTGATTTCTTTTTTTAGTGGTATGATTATGTTGCTTGGATGGATCTTTATTGTTTTTATATATAAAGAAGATTATAAATCTATCGTTGAACAAAATTTGATATTTATTTGGCTCAAGCGTTTGAAAATTTGATGTTAACCAAAAAAAGAAGAGCTTAGTAGACTCGAGAGAACATTGAGCGTTTTGATAAAAGGTCTTATAAAGAAAAAATAAAAAATTAATAAGAATTATTTTACCAAGTTAAGAATTATTAATAATAATATTATGTCTATATAGTGATATATTAAATTTTAATATAATAAGTGTCAATGCACCTCCGAAGTCAGAAAAATATCATCAAACATGTGGCCAAAATGTCAATACCTTGGCCTATTCTCATCATAGCCTCCATTGGTGAATTCCAACTCATCAAATGGTCCATTTTCATTTTGGAGGTAGAGGAACAACAAAACTTCCTATTTTGGTCTTGGTGTAAATGTTATTATGCATCTTTTTCAACTTATACCTTAGAATGATCTTTTGATAAGTTGGACGGGTTTTTTTTATAGCTTTTCCCCTTTTGGGTGCTTCACTTATAGATTTTATCTTATTAATGAAATATGTGTTAATACACTAAGATACCACTAATCTTAGTGGACAATCGCTTGACTCTAGTAATTCCTAAGGTAGGTGACCATCATAGGATTTAAACTCATTCCCTCTTAATCATCCTAGTCCCTTTCGACCAACGAGTCACCCATAATGATTAGTAATCTTTCAAATATTGACTGGTGAATATACTAATTTATTTATTTTTATTTCCCAACACAGGAGGGTTCGAACCTAAATCCTAGGACGCAGATATACTTATTTATTCAATGGTCAAATTCATAATTGTGTTGGAATAAATCAATATAATTTGATAAAGACACATTTACTATTTTCTTTAGGTCAAAAATTCAAATCTTCACCAAGCACTAAAAGTAAGTCATTATCAAATTTGTAGTATTGAATTGATCTTTTCAGGAAATATTTTCTCAAGTCTAGTAAAGAGTCTTGATAAGCCATCACAGTCGGACAACTCACTAAATGAGACATTTGATCAAGTCATGAAGAGTATTGAGCAATTAATATTTTAGAGATGACCAAGAATTTTCTTTACTAAGAATGGGAATTTAACAAACGAATAAGCCGATCAAGATAGACCAAGCCAAAGAGATTCCAATGCAGCCATATACATCCGGAAAAGAAGTTGTCAAAAGTGCCTTCACACAATTGTAATTACAGACACCTTCAATTTGCAACAATATTGTTTCACAGTAAAGAAAATTATTTATACATTAATAACTTGTGCTTTGACAAATAATCAATACCTCGTGCATTTTAAATGCAAACTCACGCAACAGGCGTGGTTTCGGCAGGGAAAAATGCAATGGAGGAGAGGACGATTTAACGAGCAAGATGTTGCAAGCGCGAAACTCTTTCTATTTCCTTCATAATCAACTCCTTTTCTTCTTCAAACTGTTCGTCTTCCGCACCTGTGAAATCGGACCAAAGGATGAGTTCAACTAGCATATAGCATGTTTCTACAAGCCATTTAGAGCATAAAATGTGCGACTAGGATGCTGCCATTTTAAATTAAGAACCTTTCCCAGGAGAGAGGTTTTGAAGCAATTCCAGAAGCTTTTCATGGTTTTTCGCCAGAATAACTTTGATTTCGCGTGGCTTATTAGGATTAGCGACAAAAACCTGCAAAAGAATTGGACAAAGTGATCTAGATAATGAACTAATACCTAACGTCCTAAGCGAGATAAAAATGGAGGTCCAGAAGAACATTAAACAAACTCGACCAACAGGGTATCTCAAATTAAAATTCGATTTAACCGTATAAACCAATTGCCCTTCTTCATGTTTCAAGTATTTCCATTTGCTCGAAAACTTCAAAGTAGAAAAGTTTGAGAGAAAGGGCTTAGGATGTTTGAAAATACCCTCCAAATTCTAAATTGAAGCCTTTAAGTTGAAAAAATAACTCAAGAACTTTTAAAGTTCCTCAGAGCTAATCTTGGAGCCGGCAAAGCCTCTCAAGGAATTAGTAAGGGAGGGCCATGAACATTATGTAATGCGTGGGACTCTCAACTCTCAAGTAAAA